ACTGATGATAGCCCGGGTGCACAGCTTCGTCGAAGCATCCTGAGGCAGCATTGTTGAGGCCCATGGTGTGCAGCGACGGGGTTCCGAGGGGTCTGAAGTAGACAACCAGGTCTTCGTGTAGCTCTGAAGCCATTGTGACACGAGTGAGTTCCAAAGAAATGTCGGGAGTTTGTGGCCGGTCATAGGGGCGTTCCCATATGACCAGCTCAGAAGCTTGCCGAGTAAAGCGGGCAAGCTCCTCGAGGGAAGGAAAGGAGTGGCCAAACAAATGTAGCTTGTAACTAGCGTGGCATCACCGCAGAACAAGTGAAACATTTGCGGTTTCAGGGGCGCGAGGATCAGCGCAGTAAAACAGCTGCTGCATCGCCCAAATAATGCACTGAGACACTCGTCTGATCGTTGCGTTTAGCCGTCGAGCTTGCAGTGGATACGATATTCTTAGTCTAAAGGTAGAAGCCCTACTTAAGCGCAACAGTGAAGGTGTACGTTCTGGGAAACGAAGACAGGCTGGAAGGGCAGCCACTGGGCAGCGGCAATTTGCAGTGCAGTGAAGAGAACCCCCTGGAGCACGTCGAGATGCAAGTGGTGCTGAAGCCGCAAGTGGCCCTAAAAGTAGAAAGGTCCTCGATGAAATCAATGACCGATTCCTTCTAGTTCTGGCTGGTAAAGGTTTGAACGTTGAGCGGTGTCATTTGGGCCACGGGCATGCGAGCGTGGCTATCGCGCGCAGTGCAGGTGGCCATGGGCGAGAGAACTAGATCGATTGCTTCCAAAGACGAGGTAGCTATCTCAGAAATTGGTGGTCGCTCACCACCAATCACACACCACGAGGTTGTCTCAACCTCTAGGTACAGAGGTGGGACTTCCCATGCCATTGGTTGTCAAATGGGGGGTTCTTGGCAGCGGCTGGCTCGCAATCCCATTGAAAAGAGGCCAAGACAGACAGAAAACCGTCTTTACAGGCTCGAATCCCAGGAGCAATTGCCCGGTGTTGTTGATGGTGTTGTTCTTCTTCTACGTGTCCCAACCCACCTCGGTATCGGCCATGACTCAGACAACGCCTTCGTTTGCTTACTGAAGGAACAGGTAAGAAACGGAATAGTTTAGCCGCTCTTCAATAACAAGATAACTTTATCTGATTGAAAACAAAACGAAACAATAAAAAATGTCTAAGCAATAACTATATATGTAAATATATTTACATAAGTGATAGAGCAAATATGGAACCAAATAAAAGCCTAAGTTGACTCAACATCGTTAGTCTCTCGACATCGTTAGTTAGTATGAGGCACCAATTACGAGCATGTTGGGTGTAGAGCAATCAATGCGGCTGATGTAGAGCGCGTAGCCAGTTCCCGACCCGTCAACTAGCGAAGCCGATCGGTTCCGCGAAGACGAACGCGGAAGACCCCGAGCATGGCAAAGAAAGGAGCCTCCTTCGTTCTCATGGTTCACAAGTGGAGCCGTCAAAGTAATCGCCGTTCGGGACTAGAAGGAGAAGGCTTACTCGGAAAAGCGTCGAGCAAAAGGCAAGTCAGGCGCCACCGTCTGAGTTTAAGCCATTGTTGGCATGTACGCGTGTCATTGAGAATGACGCGGGGACGCGACCACTTGGCTGATCGAGACATAGTGGTGGCAGGGAAACGACCACAATGTCCCCCGCTGTTGTTAGGATGTCGGGGTGCCTCGCTGTCGCATGCACACCTGGTAAGCGCACGGAGCCCAACGGTGTACCCACCGCTCTCAGGGAGCCTTCTACGAAGCAACAATTATAGAGGGAACTGACGGGGCTCGAGCGCGAGAACGGCTGCCGACAGAAGTCGGCCGATGGAGGCAGCACGGCCTGGCATGGGAGAGAGTGTCACACGCGGAGAACCTATTCCATTGCCTGTTTTATTTGGTAACGTGGTTTTTACAAATGTAGTGCCTTTTATGAAAGTGTTTCTGTGATTGGTTGTGATGATGCGAGTCCCAACATGTAATTGGTTTTTGTGAAGACTTTTTGTTCTACCAAGGGTTGAAAAGAGGATGTTTGAATTTGAAATGAGAGCGGAGGTTCGGGCTTGGACTCGGGCAGTCGCCTGAGGCTGCAATAAAGCGTCTCTTCACCGGACTACGGCTCTTCCTTCGCGCTGCCACCATGCACTCGAGTCATCGAGGGGACCCATTCCGAACCTCAAACATATTCCCTCCTTAGCTAGTGTTGAAGCTAGTCGAGGATGAGGAAATTAACTTCGTTAGTGGACTTGACTCTGTTAGTCTGTTGTAGGAAATTTGATACAGTGTGAAGCAAGTTTATGTGGCTAAATCTGAGCCCACTGCAGCTGCTTTCTTCTTCTACCATCAATGGGCGCACCTGCCATCACAGCTCCAAGAAATGCACGGGCACGTCGGGACATCCCAGGTGGTTGCGGGAAATATGCAGCTCATATTCCTCAAAGAAGTAAATTCTGGTAAACTTGTACGTATGAAACGGTCATTTGTGTGATTAGATCATTTCTGGCCATAGCGTGTGATTTATAAGGGACTATTAAAGTCATTGGAAATTTCTGACCGAATAGTGAGCCACGTTTCACCCTCTTGTTTTAACGAGCGTCAATTACGGGCAGGCGTGCATTTTCTGATCATGTACGAGGAGAGTTGCAGGGCCCCTTGGGTAAAAAATTCTATCTAGTGCACAGCAAGAACAAGTTGGCCCACGCACCTTTGACCGCAGATTTTTAGCGCTGTCGTAGGTGAAGACAATCTCTTCCTTTACGTCAAACGCAACGAGCGCTTCAAAAGTAGTGTCCATGTAGAAGGATGAGTTATACGTGGGTAGCATACACGCCTGGAAATATAAAAAAGGTGGCTTACTAGTTCCTCTTAGTTAGAGACACCTTCTTCTACGAGGTCATACTCAAAAAATTCTAAAAAGGAGCTTCACAGCCATCTCAGTCCTTCACGAGAAATACGGGACTGAATATTGTGGTCAGCTCTGCAAAACGGGTAGCATGTAACTAATTCACATACCACGCCGTGCCTATTTTATATAAAAGAGTCAACGTACTCTCCCAAACGCACAACAAGAGAGAAGAAACTGCCTTCGGGATACCCGAGCATTTCCTCGTCATAGCCGCAGAAAACACAACACGGTGACGCAGTGCATTGCGCAGAACGGTTATGATCTGCGCAGCAACAATGAGTTGAGCAGACTTACCAGTTTAAGCAAAATGTTTCGTGCTATTTTTTAACAGCGGAAGCTGTATATAGCTAGATGGAGCAGAAAAACTATTTACCACAAAAAACGATAACAATCTTTCTTGGTCGTTCCACCAGTTGCGCCATTCTCCATGTCACATCCAAGCACGCACACCATTTGGAGCGCCGTCAATGACGTCGTTCCTTCCTTCGCATTCATGACTCCGAGCCCGCGCACTACAGAACTTTTACTCGGAAAGGGCACGAATTTTACGAACGCCCGAACGTTAGACAACTGTCCAAGAACATCGCCGACAGATAATTTGTGAGAGTGTGCATGTTCGTCGGGCCGACGCAGCAGTGCGGGACAAGAACATGCCCGGATGACGAAGTGCAAGCAGCAGCTCCATACCGAGCATCCGCGAGTCTTCCAAGCCGTAAGCCAGAGACAACGGCGGGCCGAGCAAACGACGTTGCAGGCACCGAATCGTTAGCGTTGCAACGACGGAAACGCGTTCGCCAAGGCTGAAGCGCGGTTTAGTCGGTGGTTTTTCGAGGAGCATTTATTTTCACTTTGCCTGCAATGTCTGCACCCACATGCGGCTGTACGTTCCAGCTTTGCGATTCATCATCTGTATGAAGTGTCTGAATTATGATTTTTTTATCCTAGCATGAAAACCAACAAGTGAGAACACTTTGTACATATTGCGGTGAAGCTCTCAGTCATTGTAGCAATCCTGTTGGCTAGGTATTATTTGCACAGGCACTGAAAAATTGTGTGTTGACCTAACACAAACCCAGTGGACACATTTCGCGTCTCCTTCGTCGTTTAGGGAAGCCTGTAACGACCACTCTGTAGCCACTTTAACGAAATAATATGCCTGGGCTCCTTTTCACGAAAATGTCGCTCATGCTTCCGACAAAATTGATCTCACTACCCAATAACTGGGCCAATATATCATATAACATCAAAATGTGCACACATTCTTGTCCATGGATCTCGGCACCGTAAACGCCGCAACAGCCGTACTTCACTAACGGGGCGCCTGATTCATTCAGGCCGTGTCACCAAGAAGCTTTATGGCAATCTGTGTGGATCGAATGTGGCAAGTCACCCCTAAACAACGGAAAAAAATTAATCATTGGCAGTGTGTATCGCTCTCCTTCATCTCCTGTTCTAGAATTTCTGTCAAATCTTGATAGATTACTTCACAAGCTATCTTTTGAGAATAAGGAAGTTGTACTGGTAGGGGACATCAACATAAACTTATTAGATATGGAATCCAGTGTCTACTCGGCTTACACGAACTGCTTCAGTGGCTTCGGCTACGAATCACTTATCACTGCTCCAACAAGATGTGGCCACCAGGGTTCCCAATCTCTTTTAGATCATGTCTTATGCAATTTTTCTCCTGCCCCCGAGGCTGGCGTGGTTGACACATACATTACAGATCACTTCCCCGTTTACATAACATTTAATGCTAGGCGCTCCAGTGTCGATAGCTGTTTTTACACATCTGTGCTGGATCATGACAAGTTTATCGATGCTATAGCTACAACTGACTGGTCACTTGTTAAGTCCGATATTCTTGATAATTCCTGCTCCGACGTAGAGGCTATGCTACAGAAATTCTGCGCTTTATTTTTAAAGGCCGTAACATCTAGTACATCAACTGTTAAATGCAAAAAACGGTATAAATTTCCCCACAATCCATGGATGACATACGGCTTATTGACAAGTGTTCGTAAAAAAGATAACCTTTACAAAAAAACAAAAAGACAGCCTTTTAATACTTCGCTTGCCCGCCGATACAGGAAATATTGCAACAATTTGAAAATTTTACTCCGAGAAGCAAAAAAGCGTTATTAGAAAAATGAGTTGACCAAACATCAGGGGGACCCTAAAAAACAATGGAACATTTTGAACAACTTCTTAAACGAATCATCTGGAAA